TCTTAACGGTTAGCTGTTAGTGTTAGCTTGTGCTAAATTTTACTAGTTTTTCTGTTTAGCTTTACCTTCAGCTAAGTTTGATTGTTTTCTTTTTTTACATGTTAAGCCGATTAGCCCTAGCAAAGCTGTATTTTTAGTRGGAGTTACAAACTGATGTGGACTGGAGTTTGTGAAAACAACAAAGAGTGTGTGTGAATAAAWAATGCATGAAAATTYTCAAGCATGTTTGAGTGTCTWGAAAAGKYCTATATAAGACTAACGTATTATCATTAACAGCTACTGAAGCTGTAAAATCGCTTACCACCTCCTCTATCCAAGCGGTCACAGTGTATTTTTTGTAAATAACTGCCTGTCATCCTCACATCACTTAAGAAGTTTACAAATTTTACTATGGATGGACTGGGATCAAGTTTGTGAAAACAARGCACAACAGCTGCTGAAGCTGTAAAATCTCTACTCACTTCTTCTATGCAAACCATCTCAATTTATGTGTCTTCTTATGGCTTTATAAAATCATTGCTATCACCCACACACTGCATACAAATTTACATAGTGTAAAAAATAACTGCATCCCAAGGTTTAACATGGTGCTCTGAGGGCGTCCTGAGGCGTTGTCATCTGAAAAAGGGTGTCAGAAAACCAACACCCCTCCAGCTAAATGCCTGGTTAACAAAGCTAACTTTTAGGTTAGCTGTGCCCACTACTGCTAATACATYTTAAAAGGGTGTATCATGTATTTTCCAGGCACATAGTTCAATTCTATACCAAAATCAAGTTAAGAATGTTACCTTCAGATGTTATGAGAATGCAGTTAATTTCAAAAATAAATTTGACTTTGCATCACACTCTATCTAAATGTCTTGAAATTGGCCTCTGTCTGTATAAGAACCTCCTGCCATTTCGGACACWCCCATTTCAGCACACCTTCACAAACACAGACATCATATATATACAGTATGTATATAATGTCTAAGGGATGCTCAGCTGGGGACTGGGCTCCAGGAAGGTGCCATGGTCAACAAGTGGTACCTTGTAGCAGCTGGAATTAAGGTAGCTCCACATGGCTGCTACCACAAGAGATTCAAGGGTTTCTCGAACCTGCATGAATGAGTCAAAGCAAGACTCTGGCTATGTTTTTGATGAGGGAATGACATGACATGATTTAAAGCGCAAAAAAGTTGATTTAGCCCCCCCCCCCTCGCCAAAAAAATGAATAAATAAAGTTCAGTTTTTGTTGTGAAACTGTAGCATTTTGGCTGCTGTAGCACTAAAATAGTTCATGGTCTGAGTACTGAGAACTTAAAATATATAAACTTGTTAATATGTATGAATGATCTTGACTGGTTGAACTTGGTTTCAGAATAAATATGCTGCCATAATGTCTTCCACAGGGCAAGAAGGGTCGTCCTGGAGAGGACGGACGTCCCGGTCTCAAAGGACAGAAGGTGCCACCAACTCAGTGACCAACACTTGTGCAACCGTTACATCAGAGTTTTCAACCACTCATCATGAACATGAATGTCACATTACCTTAGGTTTTTYATAACTTGAATTCCCATGTTGGAATAATTACACAATCTACAACTTCAGTGGTTTTTAAAAACAAACATAGGATGCACAAAGTTTGAATGTATTGTTACACAGAGTCAAAATTATACATACAGGCTGAAATATAATATATTCATTCAGCCATAGTATCCGGTTAATACTTTTACTTAAACCTCCATCGACAAGCTTCTGCTTTATTTCTGGATAAATATTTAATCACTGTTCTTGGTAGAGTTCATTMAAATTGGTTAATTTTCTGGCACAGACCCACCGTTTAAAATTTTCAGCATGTCTGAGGTTGGGGCTTTGGGAAGGCCTTTCTAGAAGCTCAATGTTAGAACAATTTGTCCATTCAGAAACCAGTTCTCGTGTGTGTTTGGGTTCTTTGCCCTGGAACACGCACTTGTGTCCAGGTTTCAGTTGATAAGCAGCAGATTTAAAGTGAGCTTAAAAAATTGGAAGTAGTCCTTCAAACTACCACTGTACTACAGTATGCTGCTGCCAAKAGTGTGCTTGACAGTTGGTACAGAGTTCTCAGATTTGAAAGCCTAACATACTTTATGTCTTGTTTTGTTTTTGTTTTTGTTTTTTTGTTTTTTTAAATTTGTGACAGGGTGTCCCTGTCCTTGTGGACAGGGACACTGGTGTRCCAGCAGGGGTCTTGGTCTCGTCAAATTAAACAACATCTAGAAATTTAAACACTAACTGGTCATAGCAGTCCTTCATTGATGAAGACCATCATCTCCTACTGATTGTCGATCCTTCAGTGACTGATGACTCCCAGTCTGGACTTTTCACCACAAGTGGTGGTCATTGGACATCTGGACAAACAGGATTAACTGCACATTGTTTTTACTGCCTTTGTTTCTCATCAAGATGTTCAGTTCTTTGTTTCTCAAAGGGGTTGACTCCATGAATGGTTGTCCTCTAGTTTGGTTTATCTTTGGCACGCTCTTCCCAATTSGTCCTACTGATGGGTTGAGGTTCTGCTTCAACATTTCTTTCAATTCAGTTCAATTCAATTRGATTTGATTCATTCAATTTGATTCAATACAAAAATTCTTTATTGATCCCAGAGGGATGTTGTTGTAACTCGTTTAACTAAAAACTTATTGTAGATGCTGATGTCTGTGGGCAGGAAGGATCTTCTGGTCTGTATTACAGCGAAGTTGAAGAAGCCTCCGACTGAAGACACTCTGTTTTTCTATGACAGTCTGATGAAGAGGATGGTCAGGGTTGTCCACAATGTTCTTGATTTTATGTAAAATCCTTCTTTGCACCATCATCTCCAGAGATTCCACAGTCGTCCCCAGAACAGAACCAGCCTTCTTTATCAGGTTGTTTAGCCTTTTTAGGTCCCTGGCTCTGATGCTGCTGCCCCAACAGATGATGGCAGAAGAGATGACGCTCTCAACAACAGACTTGTAGAAGATCTGCAGCATCTTCCTGCAGACATTGAAGGATCTCAGCTTCCTTAAGAAGTCCAGTCTGCCCTGTCCTTTCTAGACTGCTTCACTGTTGAGTCTCCAGTCCAGTCTGTTGTCCAGATGAACACCGAGGTATTTATATTCCTCATCCATCTCCACTTCTTCTCCCATGATGGAAAAAGGGTTTGATCTAACATGATTTCTCCTATTTCTATTGGTTTTTGAAGTGTTTCTTGTTTTTTTTTCCTTTGTTGTAGTTGGGATTAAAGATCTGTTTGGGAAGGCAACAGTCGGATGTTCGGACTAGTGCAATCAATACTCGATTTTAAAAAAAGAACAAGTCAAATAAATTATTAAAAGCCTAAACTTAATATGACATTCATGCAGGGTGGATGTAAACCTCCAACCAGGTTTCTTTTTCACATCAAATCAAAATGTTTTTGTAGGGTGAAAGTGGTCTTGGTGGACTTCCGGGTCGAGAAGGAGCAGAGGTGAGCAGAAGATTCAAAATTTGACTGAAGCCAAGTCAAGTTTGACTGGTCCAGTTTTTTCATTCTTTTTTTCATTATTTTGTAAAAGGTTTTTGCTAAAACTCCTGACTTGGTAAAACTGTTTCTCACACACAGGGAAAACCAGGCTACAAAGGAGAGAAGGTATTCAATGGGTTCTAGTACTTTATTCTGATGTTTTCTTKGTTTTCCAAAACACACAGTTCCCACATTTGTTTAAAATCTTCACGAGTTAAAAACAGTAAAATGTGATTTTGATATATGATGGCATTTGGCTGTCCTTTTGTTTAATCATTTTAATACCAAGCTTACCTGTAASTATCTGTACACACATCAGGAATTCAACCACAAAGCTTTATGTTTCTGTAAAATACAGTATTAACAGCTCAAAACAGTTCCCAGCTGAGACATGAAAAATCTACCGTTCAAAGATAAAATGCCCCTAAGAGATTCAGAGTTTGTGTCTTAAACTTGTTTATGGAAAAGTTAGAATTTGATTGCAAGAACAAAAATTTTTGAGACGACACCATGCAGAGGATTTCACTCAAATGTGTATTTTTCTTTCTCACAGGGGGAGAGYGGCGAGTGTGGCACACCTGGGATTAAAGGAGACAGAGTATGTTTGTATTTAAATCTTATAATACTTCAAAACCAAAAAATGGCAGTAGCAAAACATTATACAAGTTTAGTACTTTTAAGACTTTTTGGTGAAAGGTGTGGTTATGGTGGTACAGTGACAACAGACCTCACGCCGTTGACATACGTTTGACTCTAAATTCCATGTATTTCAGCCAATCTGCATCGAATTCACTATGGTCTATCCTAATGCACACCACTACATGAATGCAGTACAATTTTGGTGGGTCGTGGCCTAATTAGACATCATGCCACTGACATACATTTGGCTCTAAATTCAACATATTTCAGACAATCAGCATGCAATTCACTATGGTTGATCCTAATCCACCCCACAACAGGAATGTAGTACCTTTTTTAGGAGATGTGGCCTAGATAGACGTCATGCCATTGACATAATTTGTCTCTAAATTCCACATATTTCAGATAATCTGCACCCAATTCGATCTGGTCAATCTTAATCCACCCAACTACAGGAATGCAGTATAATTTTGGGGGGTGGGCATGGTACACMTGTAATGTCTCAGGACATTAAAAAAAACCTCTTGGAGTCATGGTCCAGTCCCAACTGGAAGTCGGCCGTTTTGGATCAAAGCTGTCAATTTGTRTCTTTCCTTGCACATCTGCACTAACACCACCAATTTGAACARGCAGGCTTCACATGCTGCGTGCTTCCTTCAACACTGACTGGTGGCGGGATGGTGTGGGTGTGGCAGAATGGTGAATGCTGCTGTTTCCACACGGTTGGCTCAGTTTGACAAGATAGTCCTTCCATCCGTCTGCTAACATTATGAGATGATTTAAATAATGAAGGCCTGTGATGATTCCAACAAAACTGCTAAAAGTTGGTCACTACTGAATGGTGATGGGGGACATCAGCAACAGTTGGCGTCGAGTTGTATCTTGTAAATATAAAACTTGTCAGCATGAATTATATAAACTTTTTTTTTCAGGGTCCTGAAGGTACAATTGGCCCAAGAGGAAACCGTGGACTTCAGGTTGATTTTACTTTTCTTCTGTTTCTAGGTTTATCAAATTCAACCTGTTGGAGTCACAAACACATAATTCACAATTCATACTGTTGTGTACATATCTTTTTTAATTGACAGAAATAGTCAGAAAATGAACGCAAATTTATTGTAAATATCGATGTCTTCTTTACTCTTACCATAACTGACTATTATTACTAGTTTGTGAGGCTAAAACATGAGCAAAAACTAATCAAATTTAACATGTTTAAGGATATTTTAGCTCTTCTGAAGTAGGGTTCAGAAGAAAACCTGAACCTTTAATGGGCTGTCTTATCTATTTTAATCCAGTTAGCTTTAGTAATGTATAACTTTAAATACTTTGCAATACGTGTCATGTTTAATAATGTGTTTGTGTTGTGTCATTCAGGGTTTACCTGGATTACCTGGTGATATSGGACCTGAAGGCCTGATGGGTAAAAAAGTGAGTATTTTTCTGAGATTTAGGTTAGAATCTAAACATTTTGGACATGTCCAACATCTAAAGTCTGTATTATGTTGTCAGACTATSCAGAGTAAGAACTCTGTTTTTAAAGAAAACAGATTCTGTTCCATTCATCACAATTATTAAACTCCCAGTGGTGCTGCTCTGAATGTCAGCTCAAGTTCTGTTGTGGCTACAGAAAATGTTTTATTTTATCCTGTAAGAACAGGGTCAGTTGAAGACATGCTGTTAAAATCATACCTCGTCTTTGCTGTATTTCTACTTGAGCACACATAAAAAGCACTTAGTTGTGATTAGGAAACATTAAAACACATACTATTTAACCCTCCTGCTGTCCATCAGTCAAAATGACCCTTGAGAGCTCAGTCTTAAAGTGATCTCTGACACWTTATTTGATAAACATTTACTTTAAATATAAAAGTCTGACTGTAGGCTGTTTAATTTAAAAAATATATATATTGTCACACGGACATTATTTGCACTGCAAAGCATCATAGGTAAATGATGACACTAAATGGGTCCTATGGTGTGAGTTTTATCCAGCTTTAAGGTTAATTTTAAATAAAGTCTAACATTTCAATTGAAGCCAGAGTGTGTTGACGAATAGGAAAATGTCATCTGGAGAGCTTGACACTGAAAATAATGATGGAATACAACAGAGATGCTTCATGTTAGGAAAACCTCAGATTTAACCTTTTAGCTTTCATGTTAGCTTCAGAGTTTATATATATGGAGATATGGTTTTAGTTCCCAAAGTAATCGTATTAGCTCTGRAGCTAATGCCACATTTATGACTTTAGCTCCAGAGCAGGGGTGCTCAACCTTTTTTGAACCAAGAGCTACTTCTGAAGTCGGCAGTTTGCCGAGATCTACTCGTCCGGTCTCAGTATCAAAAAACATAATATGGTCTCCCTACTCRTCACTTCTTTAAGGTAAATAAAACAGAACCTAATGTGTTGCTAGTTTTATTTAATTTAAAGTATTGTCAAACAAAACTATCTACTTAACCATATATTTACCTACAAAAAAAGAAGAGATAAAATCCTTACTTAACTCCTGACAGAGAAACAAAAAAGTGATGCTCGAATAAAAAGGATAATTTTTTTTACCTCCTTCAATTAGTACTCACTGTAACATGCGAGCTATGAGGGCTGGAAACCTGCACACTGAGAACCACAGAGTAAAATAACTTTGGAGCATCCCCAGAACGCAATACGTCAGTAACAAAATTGTGACACGCATTAGTGAAAAATTTAATAAACATATGCAATTTTTTAAATAATTCCTAGTTTTCATGTTTCATGAACAACAAACAAACAAACAAACAAAATGTGGAAATAGTATGAGATCCCTCAAAAACTGAAACCTCACCGGTCATTTAGCCCAAGCAAACCATGAGGGTTAAAAAGCTTCACCAACATCCTTCATGATGCCTTCATGTTCCATGATAGTAATTAAATTAAAGTAAATTCAGTTTTTGTTACTGTTGTTACATAAAATTAAATTGAAACACGTTTTACTGTTATTGTTAAGTAAACCAGTTGTTGAAACTAAATTACAGGAGCAAAAAACCTCTTTCATTGCCCGCTTTGCGCCTTTTTTTTAAAAAAATCTCTTTAATACTTTATTAATCTTCCAGGTCATGTGACTTAATATAATTTAACTGACATTAGTGTATCTTTTTTTTTTACAAAAATATAAAATCATCTATATTGTAAGAGCCGACCGCTAAACATCTGACATGCATCAAAATAGAATAAGGTCCAAAATGAAAACTATAATCACGTTTAGAAAGAACAAAGAATAAGCAAACATTTGATGTTGTCATGGAAATGTGTAAACAAAAACTAATCTGTTTTCATTTATGGTAAGAAATTGCAAATATACAGTATATTAAATATGTGTGTAGTTTTTTCAGTCTAAAGATTGTTTAGAACCATTTGGCTGGGATTAATACTTTGGTTTTTGAATATTTGTCACTGATCTAAAGCAGCTTRAATGATTTAAAACTAAAATCTCCTTTGGAGACATTATTTGTTATGAGATATACTGTTCCTTCCAATTACTGACCTCTTCAAACARTATAGAAATATTACTGCTGCCATCTACAAAATGTTAAAATGTTTGGATTTAAATAATCTGCCAATCAAAAGATTGGACAAATCTCATTCAGTGCCCCCCCACCCACACACACAAACTTGTTTTTATATCCTTGTGGGGCCCATCCATTGACTTCCTTTCATTTGTTGGTAATTTTATATCCTAACCCTGACCACAAACCCTAAGGCTAACCTCACAGGTGAGGTTAACCTGACCCTAAAACTAACCTAAACTCAATTCACACCTTGGTCCTAAACCCAACCTCCAACCCAAAATCAGCCTCCGAAGTTGTGGGGCCCTGGCTTTGGGCCCTACAAGGAGCACCTGGTCCCCACGACGCTGCATTTTCCTTAAAACTGGGCCCCACAATGTAGGAAAAACAAGGACACACACACAAACACACACACACATACATTTTAAATTAACTCTGAAGTCATCCAGATTATGAAGGAAAACATACACTACAGAAACCCCATTAAAAAGGAACATAAAAGTAAATAGAAGTTTGATTTGTGTGAGGATAAAGCCTGGATCCCATTTAAAAAGTAACAATCTCTGAATGTCAAAATAAAAGCTAAGGCAGCAAATTCTGTAGTTATTATTATTATTATTATTATTATTATTATTATTACCTCATGAAGGTGACCACAGCTGTAGTCAAAGCAAAAAGTACTAAAATCTAAAACAGAGTCAAAAACATGGTCAACACAGAGTCTAGGCTAAAAAGCTATAATGTGTAACAATAAAGTGATGTTTTTTATTAGTTTCTTTGCTCTACACAATATATTGGTTGAATCGATCAAATGTGTTGTTTAGTAAATTACCTAACTTCCAAGATAATATTAACAGCTCTGGAAAACAATGCCATATCTCCATATAATTAGCCTGGGAGCTAATGTGTAAACTAAAAGGCTATAGCTGAGGTGGGTTTTTCATGAAGTAGCTCTGTTTTTCCTTTATTATAGTTTTAAAGGAGACCAATTATGGGTCCTAGAAATGTTTAAGGTATGTCTGTGGGCTATCCAGACCATGTTCATTCAATTTAATGCACAAAATAATTCTCAGATAATAAAATTTCCCATTTTCTAGTTCTGCCTGCTCTGACTT